GCTTATGAAAGAAAATATTTTGGAAAAAAAAAATACTGCATATATTTTTGTTGGGTTATTTTTGGTACAAAAAATACAAATTTTTTTTTTTTTGTTTATTTTGTAATCCGCATTGATTTCAGTTGTCTGTTATTTACTTAAAAACAGTTTTTTGTTGTTCTGACAATTTTGTATTTTTTTTTTTTTAGCACCTTTTAAGCATTAAACATCAGCTTTTCTGTCTGCTTTTTTTTTTTTTTTTTACCTTTAAAGATTAATGAACAATTGGCATATCGGACGGATAAACTCTATTTTTTTTTGTAGTCCAACTTGTTGGTTATCGATCATTTTGCAAGCATTAAAACTGCTGCTTCAGTAAAACTTTTTTTTTTTTACAATAAAAATGCATCATGAATTTTGTTTTGCAGTTCAATTTTTTTTTTTGACTCTTCAAAAATATATAACTTTTGGTTGGTGAAAAAAGAAGCGAAAAAAAAAAAAACAAAGAGAAAGAAAAACAGAAAGATGGAAAATTAAAAACAAAACATTTCTTTATCCTCTTTTCTTTAATTTGTTTTTTTTTTCTTAATTCTTCGAGAAACAAAAAAAAAAACAGAAGACAATATAGCAGATTTATCAATGTGCTAAATTTTTGTCGAATTTATTGGTGGTGGTGGGGGAAAAGAAATGTAAAAACAGAGGAATAAACAGCAATAATAAAGTAAGTGAGAGGAAAAAATGAAAAAGTTTTTATTCAAATTGTCAATCGCAAATTGATTAGAAAATTACTTTTTTTTTTTTTACAATAAAAAATAAATTATAACTTTCTCTTTGTTTTTTTTTTTTGTATTTTATTGGGAAAAGTATTTGATAAAACAAGTGGCGGAATCAAATTGACTGTATGGAAACAAATAACTATCGTTTTCTATTAAAACTTAATTTGTTTTGTTTTATATATATATATATATTCTGTAAACAGTATTGTTGTTAGGGGTACACTGATTACCGTTTGTATTGTTTGTGGTGGTGGTGATGGTTGATGCTTTTTTACAGATTGCCCATTACTGCAACGTGTTTATTTTCAGCAATTGTTCTCTGTTTTTAATTTACTTTCAAAAAAAAAGTTGTGGAGGAAAGGAGAGGTTTGAAGAAGGGTAGTAAATGGTGAAAGAAAAATTTTCTTTTATTTTAGAAGGAGAGAGAGTAAAAAAAAGTGTCTTTTTTAACGGTATTTGTCAGTTTTTCTTTTCGTTTCGTTTTTTTTCTTATAATTTACTTTAAATATTACAAAAAAAAACCGGTTAAACGTTGTCCAAATTTTTAAAGGCAACATTTTTGAGCAAGAAAACAATACAATTTTATCATAAAGACGTTAACAGCTTCTGATACTGTTGATACTTTTGTTGATGATGATGATGATGATGATGACTGGTGACGATGTTCGCTAAGGGAACGGAATACAATGATCAAACATACATTTGTCATTTAACAACCCAAACATTGATACATTGACTTTCTCTGCGTGTTTCTGCGTGTCTGTGTGTCTGTGTCTGAGTGTCTGCGTGTCTGTGGTATGCTTATTGTAATAATACTGTTCACCGGAAGACTTATAACAGAAATGGCGAACAGTTTTTCATTCCACGGTAAATTTTAATTTTAAACTTTTCAATAAAAAAAAAAAAAAAAAAAAGCGCAACTGTTCTTTTAGTTTTGCAAAATGGTTATAAAAAAAAAAAAAAAAAGAAGTTTTGAGTGGAAAGGAAACATAAGAATTTAAGTAAAGGGAAAAAAAAAAATCTTGTTTTTTTTGTGGAGTAATAGAAGAAAGTAATTTTTGCTGCTCTTTTTCATTTTTTTTAAATAACAATTTTATAATTGAACATTTTTTTCACATCTGATAACTTCTCTTCTTTCATTCCTTTTTTTTTTCTTCAACTGTTGCAGTCAAATTATTTTGCAGACAACAGTTTATTTTTTTTTATCCTTTTCAATTTCTGGTCACTCAGTTATCGTCAATTGTATTTTTTTGCATCTTTGTTTACAAATCTGCTCCTTAAAATTTTCCCTTTTCTTTTTCACCTCTTTTTGTTGCTAAAATAAAGTTTTTTCCACTTTTTACTTGTCACATTTATCCACTTAATAGAAATTGGTTTTTAATCTTTTTGGCAACATTTTTGTTGATGTTGTTGTTGTTGTTGCTGCTTGCTGCTGCTGCTCCTGGATGATGATTTGGATGATGATGATTATACCGATCTGTTGATGCCACCGTTACTGACGTTGGTGAGTTTTGCACAAATTGGTGTTCAGAAGTTGCAGGAAATATTAGACGCAACTATTGCTTGCCTAGTTGGTTGACAGAAGTGTTTTTCAAGTGATTAGAATTTGTGTTTATGTCACAGGTTTTTTTTTTTCCCCTCTCCTCGAACAGGCTATTTTTTAGATTGCTGAACGAAGAAGAAAACAACATATTTTAGTTGAACTGGTTGTACTTGGATAGCCTAAGATTATCGTCTTCGTTCTTACTTCTTTATGCTTCTATCTTTTTATTCACTTATCTTTCTACACTCTTCTCTGTTCGATTTTCTAATTTTTTATACAAAAACTTCTTTAATATTGTAACAGGTTGCCTCACCTTTTATTCATATTGTTATTAGTTAGTTCCCAAAAAACTAGAAAAAAATATATATATGCGGATGACAGCAGAAGTAAATTATTTAATATTCTGTACAAATATTACTAGA